AAAAACAATGTGTCAACGTCCCTGCATGAAACAAACTCAGAGCAAAGTCCATGTAAAGTCTAATTGGGAAAAACATGAGAAGTCACTGTGTCATATTGAACCTCATCAGACATGTTCTTTCATGTACAAATATTGACATATGGCTTGTTGGATGGGACATTTCAAGTTAAAAATTCCGATCTTATAAATTATATTGTGCATATGTGTAATGATCTGTAAGACCTGAAGCTGATTTCATGCCATGTTTTAGCTTTTTTTGTATTTCATTTGCTATTCGATACTCATCATCGTTTTAACAGGGAACACATATGGTCTTCATTTTATATGTTTGGTTATACTGATCGAATACATAATACAACAACAGTAATTTTAATGCAATTGTTGCCCTTTATTTTACCTTCATTTATTAGAGATTTTCTTTGTGCTCTGATATATAGGTGTATAAAATGGGACGGGAATATTTGTAATAGTAGTAGTCGCAATGCTATGAATACAATGCATAACATTAACCTTGCTCATTCATTAAGGCACTACCTAAACCTGAATCTTTACTTGAAAGAAAGTTGCAGGTTCAGATTTGAAGATGTAATACTAATGTCAGACACCAGGGGTCCCAAAACACAGCTAACTGCAAAGCCAGGGCACCAACTAGAACCAAAATGTTGGCAAATATAGGCATGTAGACTGAATGAATGTTGTTGTTCATTATGGTAAATAACTCTTTAGTGATTTTTGAAAGTGAGATTCTTGACAAGCTACTACTTTATCAAGTCCATCTGTTCTGTGAGTTAGTCACACCCATGTATCCCACAGAGAAGGCTTAAGGACACTACTCACACAGCAGTTTTGGAATGAAAAAACACAACTACACTGTAGTCAATATCAATTCATTATCTTGCTCCTGGATAAACAGTTGTGGGCATAGAGTATATATGGCTCACTGTTTTTTTAGCCATACATTCACAGAGCACAACTTCTTCTTACAGCAGTGCCACACTTGGCATTCACACACTCTGTTGGCTTTGGGCGGCTATGCAAACATTAACGAAAAGTTCCTCTGTTTTTACCTGGCTGCAGTTTTACCAGGCCAGGAAGTGATGGGAAGTTTAGGACTGTAAAGGTTCCTATCCTATGTGAGAAGAGTGGAAATCATTCATGACAGTTCTAACCGACGTGCCAAAAGCTACAGTATGAACTTGATTTAATGTAAATGACAACAACAAACAGGTTGTACCCGCCAGGCGCAGAGTTTATTCTTTTAAATATACATATCCCATTTTAAATACCCCCCTCCTTCCCCTCCCATCATAACTTCACTCTTAAGTCTTCGCTTCCTTGGCCTGTGGACCTCCAGAGAGAAGCTCGTCTGCAGAAGAACACACTCTAGTTTGTGCAGCATATTGCTTATTGTTAAGACATTTGCGAAAAAACATAAATTAAAAATACTACATTTTGTTTTTTGTTTTCTGCTCCAACATCATACTGCTATTCTGATCAGAGGCTAAAGAACTTAAAAGTAAAACAAACACACTGTCCCTCAGTCTGACTTCAATATTACATGGCTTTGGGAACTATCACAGTGGTCAGCCAATTGGTCCAATTATATTGATGCAGTGTTGTCAACATTATCTGGCTTTGCTAGTGTTATCTGCAGTTTTTACACTTTTATAAGACTCCAACCCACTAAATATTGATCTTAGAGCTAAATAATACAGTATGTTGCAAATTGGCCATGGTCCTCAATATAAATCCAAACGTAATCAGGCTCGCAATAAAAATGTGTCACAACTTAAATAATAAATAAAACATGGTTAAAAAGACCAATTTAGCATTGTTTATACAACTTAGTCCCAGAAAAATTGCTAAAAAAAGTATTATAAATGTGACTAATCTCACTGTTACAACATTCCCAACGAGACTTTTGTATCTATATTGTGTAGCTTTAGTTTATCTGTATCTCTGTATGTGTGTGTTTGGATGTGGAGGCAGACTGAAGGACAGCATGGTACGGCACTAGAGGAAATCCAGGTGTTTAAAGTCACAAGGCATGCATGTTAACACTGAACGGAAGGGTCACCAGTCCCATCTTTTGTGTTTCATATGTGCTGTGCAAGAGGCTTCACAAGTCTCTTCTCTGCATTCTTTTATTCTTTTCTTTACAGGTGAACTCTTTTGTTGCAAGGTCCCCTTTTGGACTCTTTTAATGGAAGATTCTTTTGATGGTCTTGAGCAAAAGCAATACAAGGGGACTTTCACAATGGTAAACTTTTTATGTGCTCTTGTGTCTTGCTGTGTGCATTTTGTAGCGTCTTTATCAAACCAATCTAGTTCGTCTGTCCGGCCCATTCATTCCTCTTGTAGCGGATGCTGGGAGTTCAAAGGTCAAGCTGAGGTCAAACACGGGGAGAGTATTTGGGGTTTTTTGGCACCTCGGTGAAAGATTTCAGCTCATAAGGAATCCCTGTGTCCACCTCGATGGATTTTCGGGAGAATAGCAGCCGGATATCATTGTGCAAGTAGATCTTCCCAGATTTGGAGCTCTGGAATCTGGAACAAAAAAAAGGTTATTCCTTTTTTTTTTTTTTTTAGGACTGGGTCATTGGGTGAATTTTTTATTTTACTTTGATTTTACATATAAAAATGGCTTAGTCTGAGCTCTGCTCCAAACCATATGCCTTTATTCACAGAGGATCTCTAGATTAAAATTATCTAAAAATAAAATTCAAAATTCAAAATGACTGACTCTCTCAATTGAAAATAGATTAATTGCACAGTATACCACAGACGTGTATAGTCTAGTTGCAATTTTCCCTGCTTTTGCCCTTTGTGTCTTCTCTTTAAGAAACATATTTGTATCTGTATTCCTGTCATACTGTAAAACATGCATTTGGAGAATAAAGGTGAGTCAGTAGTATTACCTGAGATGTATTAGGTAGCAAAGTATTTTCCTCCTATCGGCGCCCCCTGCAGGTGATGCCTCTCCTTTGCCCTCAGCTCCCTCCTCCACAGGCATCAGGAAGATCCGGTGCCGTAGGAAGGTCATGTGATTGATCGGCATGTCACTGAAGTTATAGGTCACCAAGAACATCTTCACCACAGTTTTGTTTGGATTAAATAAGGTCTGTATCAAGGAAACATAAGGGGAAAATACTTAATATCATAATACATCAACTCCACATATAGAGTGAGTCAGTGGTTGCCATGATGTCACTCAGTACACGTGAAATGTCTCACCACTTGAATGGTCCCTGCTTTGGGTATGCTGTATCCTTTCTTTCCCAGAGGCTCCAGGGATACTACCCCCTAGACAAAATAAACATATAAATAAAATAAATAAATAAAACACTAAATAATAATACAAACTAATAATTGTGACAATCTTAGTAGCAAAATTAAGTAATTTCAAAGTCTAAATGTGAAGTACTATATATAAAGCAAGTCAATCATAGAGGAATGGCAATCTTTTGGACAGTGTGGATAAAATGACTGAATAACATGAATAACTGTAAATAATTGTACACCATTAAGTTTTCACTCTAAATTTCAGATAAAGTAAAATGTATAAGTTGTTTTGATTTTTATATAAACTGTCTACATTCAGTGACAGCAAAAATCAAGTCTTAACCCAAACTGACCAGGAAGGGTGAGGGCGCGCTGTGCTCAGAGATGTCATAATAAGTGACCTGGACAGGCAGAGTGACATGCTGTGGACAGTAAGAGCCGCTGGCACCGATCTCCGCTGTGAAGCCTTCGATGGAGCCTGAAGGGGAGAAGCGCCCCTTTAACATGGACTCCTGGGACACAACAGATACAAATGCAGTCACTGTAAGTAAGCAATAAAAGTATATGGCATCAGTGTGTGAACAGGAGTATTAAAGAAGAAATATTATCCTTTTTATTTAGTATGAAACTATAATATACATAGATTACTTCACTTTTTGTTCACTGTAAACTGCAATATTGGTCTAAAACTACTTAAAATTAGAAACAGGTCTACTGACTTCCTGTTCAAAACTGCAGAACTGAGAGGCCCCACTTCTTCATACTAGGAAGTGGGTGGGGATAGGGGGTAAGTGAAAATTGCAGTTTTCAGAGCACTCAAGCGTAACCTGCAGTATTACTCAAACACACACAAATCTATAACAATACAATGCTGAGTAAGGTAAAAGATTGGTTTAAAAACAAAGACAGGTTTGCATTACATGTCCCCTTTAAAAAACTTAATACTGTTTGTGTGTTAATGGTCGTACCTCAAAGTTGCCCAGTAATGATTTGCTGATAGAGGCACTGAGTCCACTGGAGCGAGGGGAGCGTCCAAAGTCTGCGTGTCTGCCACTGCGGAGCTGGCGGCTGTTTATCACCAAAACAGACCCATGGTTACTGGTTAAATTATACTTATTAGAGCTAAACAAACATTTGACCCTCCAGTATTCGACTTAAGTCCAGACTCTGCAGTTTAAGAGATGGTATTTTTAAGACTTGAATGTCTAATCTATATTAGTAAAATGGGTTAAACTCACCTTTTCAGTCTAATTCCATTCTTTAGCCTTCTTCCTTGTCGAGTGCAATCTGTAGTTACCTGTACATGAATAGAAAACAACAGTATTAACCAAAGTCAATACCAGTAATAGAATAAAATATGTTTTAAACAGTAGTTGCTTTCCCACTTACTGAACCACCTTCTATAAAATCATCTGCAAAGATATTCCCCATCCCCGGGCTATCATGTGTTGTGAAAAATACATAAACAGCAGCATATCTAGCAGGTCCAGTACTGCGTACTAACTGAACGCTCACAGCCAATGGCTCACCCATAGCTACCTTACAGGTATTACTTTCTACATAATATCAGACTCTTTGTCAGCTAATCATGTCATAAATTGACCCATACAACAAACTCTTTGTCAAAAAATGTTGTCATTCATATGAAGACAGCTTTCTTTTTTGTTTCGGTAAGAGTGTCCATTATGCTTAATCAGCACATGTACAAACATTTATCAGCTTCTTCAGTATATCCTTAAAACAAAAGAAAAATCTCGACTGATAGGTCCCTGAACAAATAAATCCAGTGAAGCTGCCACAGTGCTTTCTGCTCTACAGGAGCTCAGATAGTTTCATTTTGAAGCGTTTCAAGCAGCATGGACACTGGTGTGTGTGGCGTTTGTGTGCAGGTGTTAGAGATCAGCCCACTGTAACCAGGGAACAATACATGTGCCTCAATGGGCTTTATTCTGGAGTGACTCTGTCTGTTCCAGTGTGGTGACATCACTGTTCTCTTAGCTTCTCTAGCTGCTGACAATGTTCAAGCTCCACATTTCCTACCTACCAAAAATTTAATTTACTGTAATAACTAACTAGAGCAAATACACAATGTTAACAGAAAACAGCATATTAGATTTTGGAGGCTTCTTAGTTTGCCAACATCACAAACATGTTGTGTTTGAGCTCACCTTGGGCCGGTCCCGTGCAGACGGCAGCAGGTGGTTCCAGTAGGGAGCAGCTTTAGAGTCAGTGCTACGACAGGAGTCCAGGCCTAAGCCTTGAGTGAGCAGAGACAGCCTACTCCTCTTGGAGGTGGAGGGTCCCTCGTCTTCTGAACAGGACTCAGCAGTGTCACCTGGTGACAGCAGCCTCTTTTTAACAGGGTGGTGATGGCCTCCACTGGACCAGCGGTGACCATTGCTGGGGGTCTTCTCTGAGGAGGGAAGGCCATTGGAGTAGGAGGCAGTCTGCGTGGCACTGCGCTCAGGTGGAGATGACTCCAGTCCCACATCCCACTCAGTGGCCTCGCCTGGCTCCTGCAGCTCTGTGTGGTGAGGGGGAGAGAAGGGGCCTGGGGGGCTGGTGGGACTGGCTGGACTGGGACTTTCATATGTGGACATGTCATATGGATATGGACTAGGCTGAGCACCACCATTACTGCTGCTCTCGTGCCCAGGGCTGCCGAGGGACACTGAAGGGGTGCGAGCCCCGTTCGTAGTCTCAGTTCTGGAGGTCCCAAATGAAAGGCCTTGGTCACACATGGGGGGAGGTTTGGGTGAGAGAGGAGTGAAAATATCAGCTCTGTCATGGTGCTGCGTGACCCGGCGAGAGGGGTTATGGCTGGGTGACATTGGGGGAGACCTGGGAGACCGCCCCCCTTCAGAGTCTCTGTGCTCCATTTGAGTGCAAGGATAGACAGAGCTCCAGCCAGGAACAGGGCCACAGAGAGGAGCATCCTCAGGCCCCTCTGCATCAGTGCAGTCAGCCAGGTGGGGGTGCTTGTGAGTCAAATGGGGGTCTTCCAGACCCCTCTTGACACCCATTCGGACAGGCCTCAGTTGTGGATCACTGTGGGCTTCTGTGGAGGTAGAAAATCCCCCCAGCTGGGAGAAAATGGAGAGCTGGTATACCTTTTGGAGTCGGAGCTCTTCCTGACCATAGTGCCTGGGAGCCCCAGGTCTGAGCCCAGGGTCTATGCCCTGAGTGGGGGCTGTGGGAGGTGGCAGATCCCCCTCGTGGGCTGGAAGCTCTAATGGGGCCTTTTTGTGGGCCAGATCCACATGGATGTGCCTCATGTTTTTTCTGCAGGAAACTAGGTTTTGTGCAAAAAGCCAAAACACTCTGAGGCGGAGCACTGAGCCACAGGAAGTTGGAGATCTACCGTTTCTGTGGTGATGTAGTCTGATGTGAACAAGGAAGTTGAACACCACACCTAAAGCAAAAACATGTAATATTACATCTCTAATAAAACTATGATTTTCAACACAGATCATATATTAAAAACAAGCCCTTCTCACTGTCAAAATAAGAGACTAAAATATTTCATCCTGTGTTGTCAGCCCTAGGAACTTAAACATGAGCATGATTGGTGTCTCACCTCTGCGCCTGTCCTGGCCTAACTTCACACAACATCTGGAGATTGTTTCTGAAATGGTCTAATAAAAAAGTCCATTGATCTCCACAGCAACAGGCAAGGAACAACACCAACATCCCAAGATAGGCAACAGGGAAACCAGTCAGCTCCAGAGGAAGCCGGAGTGGAAGAAATGAACACAGAAACTACCCAAGAAAGAAAAAAAAAAACATTTGTGGTTCCAAAACTCAGTTTTAGCAGCTCTTCATGCAGTATACAAAAACTGCTGTAATCAGATCACATAAGAGGTTAGTGACTCACCAATGAGGCAGTGTGTCAGTGATGGCCCCAGAGAGGATCTGTCTCGGAGCTATTGTTGGAGCAAAGTCTGAAGGGAATTCCTATTTTAATGGCTGACAACCAGGCTCGCCCTTCCTCTTCACCTGGAGCTGTGCTTCCACATGACTGCCACATCATGACAGGGGCATTACACCCAGAAACACCTAAAACAACAAAAAAACATGATTGAAATTGTGATACTACTTCAGAGTACCCATGCACATTGAATACTACCCATCTCTAGTAGTAGTTACATCAACTTTTTTGATCACACCAGATAACAGATTTTGTGCAATATTTAACATTTTGTCAATCTTCAAATTATAAATGAAGGTAAAGGAACAGTTACTCTTACTTGTGTTATAGTTGTGAATATTTAATTAGACCACTACTTCATAAGTAATATATGTTATGAAAAATAACCATGTTTTCCTTGAGGAATATTTTTGGCTACTCTGCCCTCCTCCAATAACTATTAAATGACGTTTTTATGGCACTTAACAACCAAAACCTCAATAGGCTATAATTTAGGCACTGGCCTCATCCGTGAGCTCTCTCCATCTACAGAGAACAGATGGGTCAAGTATCAAACACTGAGGTCTACTTGTGGAAAGTTAAGATTTTTGATTGTAGCACCAAACTGGGGTTAGCCTGGGAGAAGCCGCCTGTTTCCCGACCCACTTGGACAAGAACTTGGGAATTTGGAGCATCGAGGGGAGGGGGTCACAGTGAAGAGTTTCCGTGGCAACCATCACCCCAAGGATAACAGCCCATTTGTGCTTCAGCCACAATGAGGAAGAAAGGGAATCGTGGCAGGAGAGAGGGGTGAAAAGTGAGGGAGGGAGAGGGTCTCTGGGGGAGGAGGCAGACATGTTTTGTGGGAAAGTGCTACAAATTAAGTTGTTGTTTACACCACTAATAAAATTCACTTTGAATTTGAGCATTTATGTTGTATAATACAGCCATTAATAAAACAATTTATGGTTTTTAACTTCCTCTTTATAGGCAACATTGAGGATTTTTTAGCATTCCCTATTCGCAATAGTATTTTGTTTTTGAATTATTAATTGCTATGACAACGGTCCTTTTTAATCACCCTGAAACCCATGGATATCCCAGACAGATTTTGCACTGTGTGATTATGAAAGAATGTTTACTCTCTATACTAAAAAAGTAGCATAACTTTTGAAATGCTCTATAAAAAGGGAAAACTGAAACCTTCTGAATTAGAGGCAAAATACATGAATATGTGTCAGTCTGGTCCTTCATGCTCATACCATATGTAGTGATGAGGTTTAGTCACTGTAATATGGGCACATGACATTATGATCCCTGTACAATAAGATGTGCCGGCTTTGCTTAAACCAAACTCCATTATATCTGCAATAGAGGTATTTTTGGATTGGCCATTCCCTACATCATAGTGAGGGTTGTAAAAGTGACTATATCTCAAGAACCTAATATAGTCACATGTGAAGAAATTGACTAATAAAGGCCTTTATTCATTCACTCATTCATTCATATAATGTTGGTGTTTTTATATTAGCCAGTTGTACCATGGCAGGTTAAACCTTTCTGGAACCCCTGAAAAGCGGTGTCTCTTTTCCTGACTGAGCCGAGTGGCAGATATGGAGGGTGGGGGTGGGGTAAAAGTGTATGGTGATGAGTATTTATAGGTCCGCTGGTGTCAAAGCCAAGTGAGCACCACCAGAAACTCTCCCATATGAGCAGACTTTATTTTGAACCTGCAAAACATTAGCTGCCCAGTCTTTTTAGGTGTCATTATAACAACATAAATTACAACAAAATAGCATAGGTGCATTCCTTCCAAATGCCTCACGTGAAATATCAGTTTGAAAGTGTTAAACTATATGAGAGCTAATGTGAGTTAAAAGGGCACTATTGCACTATTTTCTGATCTATGTTATAATGTTTCCTCGACAAAAACATACCTGGAGTTGTGATTTAGTTGAGTATGTTTTTTTGGTGAGGTAACAACATTGTAACATGTCTCACATGAGCCAATTTTGCATAAGTTTGGACCTTGCAGTGTCATGTTTGGGATTTTTTCCCCCTAGAAATTTACCAAAATATATTGCCGAAAGCTATCTCTCATATGTGCATCCCAGAGAAATGAAAGCAATTTCAGACACAGATACAAGCAGATGACAGGTGAATAAATGAGACATGTCTGAGATGATGAAACTGGGAGATCCAGAGGGGTGGGACTACAAAAAAGCACCTACAGCCAGAGGGGAGAGACAGGAGTGTGTTCATGAACCAACATGATCACTTTGATTAAACTTCTCTATTTTCTGCAGCACACACTCTACTCCACTGATTTCATTTACATACAAAAAGAAGGAAGTAATGCATCGAAAAAGCATGTTGAAAATGTAATGACTAAATTATAGATAGGGATGTCAACCTTATTTGCTTAATTAATAATCGTGAGAATTATCAGAATTTATTTGTCATTGTCATTAAAAACATTGAAATCCAGTTTTGTAACTGCCTGATCACAATAAAACTGGAGGAACTAAAATATAATATTTGTAAGAAAGCAAAATGCAATTTTTTTCAATCTATTAATGTATTTGAGTCTACAATTCAAAGAATGTGCTATTTATTATTCCAGTTTATGTTTCTTTATCCTTCTAAATTTCTTTAAAAAAACTTTGATTTCATAAAGCTGCTCACATGTTTGGGGAATAGTGATTAGACAATACAAATTAAAGGGAAATTTCACTGTTCACTGTGGCATTTCTTGTCACAAACATTCTTAATTAAAAATATGGGTTTAGATAATCACTCTTAATAGAAAAAAATGCTCATTTGATTTCCATGTTTGCCTGGAACTGTAAGCGTCATAAGAACAAATAGCAATAGCAATGCTGTCTACTTCCTGTGATAAAACAAAGGGCGTGCTGGGAAATGTTACATGAAAAAACCTGCCCAAACCAGTGAAATTACAATCTGATCCACAAGGACAACTAATTCATCTAGAGGTATTTGGAGAACTGATTTCTGCCAAAGTAAACGCCCTAATTTCTTACCATTTAGTGGTCAATCCCTTTTTAGTTCGGAGATAAATGCTATTAACCTCTTGAACAATCATCACCTAAACCTCATAATTAACACCTGTACATTTTAATGTCATGTTAAAGGGGGCACTATGTGAGTTTTTGGGTAGATGGTCCAAAACCTTCTTTTCTCCAATGAGATATTTTTTGCCTGGAATGTTCATCCAAAGGCCCTGAAATATGCAATTCTCAAAACCAAACTAAGTATTTTTGTCAATGAACACACCTGTATGTGAATAAATAAAAGAAAACATTGAAAAAAATATATAAGAAACATGACACTAACCCGTGCCCGTGTATGTTCCCCCAGGCCTTGGATAGCCCTGGTCATGAGGTCAACACATTCACAGCTACGAGGGTCACGTGACTGCAGAATCCTGGAGGTAATATTATTTAGTATTGAAAATGAGAAGATTAGAATGAATTGGATGTACGTAACATTAGACTTAACACTTAACATCTCATTAAGAACTGACTGAGACAAATATGGGTTTAGGAGCTCTTGCGGCAACAGCGTACTAAACGGAAACATCTGTACACTTTCCCTGTAAACTCTTAACATGTGTGGCTTTATAAGCACATGCACAACAACCACACTTTAAAGGACTACACTAACTTGTCATTAAGTGGTAGGCTGATGGCTCCTCAGAAATGGAACAACAAAAAAAGAGGCCTCCATCCACAGCAGAAAATACCTGCCCCATGAACTGTGGATGTAAATAAGTAGACCAGTCTATCAAATGATAATTTCTATGGTATATTGAGATTTGTAAAATACTCAAGTCTAAAGGCTTCTAGATCATGAAAATCAGAAATGGTTTATTCTTACTCCATATTATGCCATTTTCTGATATGTCTTATGATGTTGCTTCCTTGTCAAAACATACCTGGAGCTGTGTTTTTTGTTTCATTCACACATGTTTAACTCCTGCATATTTAGGCTGAGTTCTTCTCTTAAAAAGAAAACACTCTGTTCCACCTGGTGATCATACAGGAAATGCTCCACTTCACTCCATACCCCTTCTCTAGAATCATTTGGATGGTTTCAACTCTGGAATTGCCCATCTCTACTGATCAAAAGGTAAAGGGTAGCTTTGGCAATGTAGACAGACTAATAATAAAGGGTTTCTCCAACATGTTTAAATGAAACAAAACACACCTCCAGGTATGTTTTTGATGAGGTAACAGTCTAACATGGCTAAAAGAGTCTATTTCAAGTAATATATAACCTTTAATAATGCTGCTAGAGTAAGTACTTTGGCATGTGCTATTTTTCCAGTCTTTACAGTCCAGTTAATGATAATTCATACAAATCTCTCAATTATTGTATTATTAATAGTTGACTAGTCACAATTAGGTTTGTCTTTCATTGTTGTAGCCCTACTGAGTAGAAAAAATAATGGGGAAAAATGAATTAAATGAAATGGTGTGTCCAAACTTTTGACTGGAATGTTTTGATTGTATTGTCCTCTTCAGTACATTTGTATATTTTTTACACTACTAACTTTATCAATGCACAGTATTCATTGATGTATTTTTGTCTTGTAAACTTATAAGAAAGGATGGTGTTAGAGGTTAGGGTTAGCTGTAATATGGATGATCAAAGAAGAACTGCGAACATTTTATCATGTAGCAAAAATATACAGCCTCAACCTACCAACCGACTTCTATATTGAGATGCCACAGTAGCACAGACAGTCTAATCTAGATCAGCTAAAATTGTAATCAGATATTTACAATTCTCCACTTTTACTTGCCCCTGTTGTTTATCGCCATGCACTGGGACAATTTTATCTCTATGTGCTCAACTGCAGCATGTCCTTAGCCAACCCCTTTTCACAGCAGTATTTAACAGAGGTGTGACAGATTCAGCAGGGCTCTTGGTTTAAACGCCCCGACTGACAAGTTGTTTTTTTTTCTTCAGCAAACCACACCCACTCTACTCCCCTGTTACATCGCACAACACTGGCTTTTCTAAACACTAAAAGTTCAGCAAACAATCACCTGTTGATTAGATTACACGCTCTCATCAGTTGAGGAATCTAATATTGAGGGGGATGGGATGACAGCTGTATGAGAGAGAGAAAGAGGGAGAGAGAGAGAAAGAAAGAAAGAGAGAGAGGGAGGGTTAAAGCACCACAGAAAGACAGGATGTAATAAAAGAAGTGAGGTTGCGTTGACTGAAACTGATAAACCCTGTGTACACTAAAGCTGGGGTTAGTTGTCTAATCTGGCCGGTGGTAGAGTTGCTGAGAGAGCGATTTAACACGGGGTCCCTGTCTGCCTGCCTGTCTCTCTATCTGTCTCTCTGTATCTATCTATCTGTATCTGTCTGTGTGCTTTCATGTGGCCATTTTAGGAGAAGTTGAGTCACCCGTGCTCGGCTGACAAATATGACAGAGAAGGCAGTGACGTTTAATACGCCTGACATGAAAGAACCAAACACAACTTGTTGACACTGACCTTTTAAGAGTGAAGTGGATGTTTCTCGGTGAGTTAGTAGTTGGTTTCTTTGGTGACTTGGTGTCCTTGGTGGATCAGGTTGTGCTCAGGTTGCTGTAACCTCCTCTTCCTTCCTCCTGCATAAACAGGGTTGAGAATGACACTTTGTAAGCACGCAGCTCTTGCCAAAGTTATTCCTTCTGTGCAGCTGGTTTGGTTGGCCCTGGTAGCTACACCTCCTCTTTTCTAAGTGTTGTTTTCGTGCTGCTACCTCTCCTCTCTTCGTCTCACACACATTCACAAATCAGAAGACCCATCAGGACTCCCCCTGTCGTCTCCTTTTCTCTGGGCTGGAGCCACCCCCCTCCTTTTCACTCCCTGTTTTCTTCCTTTCTCTCATTCGCGCCCCTCCAAAATATCTTGGATACAAAAGCCACTTCATGTGCTAGCATTCCCCTCTTTCCTCTCCTCCCATTTTGCTCTGTCCTATGGACAGGCCCCTCCTCTTTGAGCCTCGCTGCTCTCTGAGTCTGTGTATATTTTCTTTCTGTCGGTTTCCTCTCAGCTGATAGAGCCAAGCGTGCTTTGCTCACTCAGCAGTGAAGGCATACAAGGCAAAGTGAGAGAAACAGGAGAGGTGGGACGCTGGCAGTTGATTGGCCAGCCAGAACGGAGGCCAGCAGCAGAGACTGTGATGATGATTGGCTGGGGGCATAGAGTGGGTCCCTTAGCCTCGCCCACCTGCTTATCCTGTTCTACAGAAGAAAACATGTAAAGAGTGCTTTTCCAAAACACTGTGAGTTGGAGTTAAACGTCTGGCTTTGACAGCTCCAAGCCTGTTTCTGAAGAGCTGAACTTATGTAATCTATTTGAGCCGATCTGAATACGTCTTTGTGTGCCATGGCACAAAGGAATGATCTATATGAAAAAAGCTATAGATGCACTAAAAGCCACCACTTTCACACCTCACAATGCTAAATATATAGATTGACCAGACAAAAGCAGGGGAATCCTTTCACCTTAAAAACATGAACAGCATCGATAGAGGTTAAAATAAAGCTAATGGTAATAAAATGTGGCATCAGGAACACCACCAGTGCAAATTTGATTTTCGATTCGACATGAAAAGTTAAATAAAGTATTTCAGAAGTCATAGCATCCATAACAATTTAAATCAAACAAACATAAGGCTAAAAACAGAACAACAAAACAAGATTATTGGATGTGTGCCATGGTAAAAAATAAACTAATCTACTAGGTTACTTATACACCATGTAAACAGTTAATACATTTAATTAGTTACACATATTCGCCCCCAAACAACAGGGCATTTGGCATGGCTATCAAACCTGAAAAACACAGTAAAAATGATATTATGTAATGGCCAGACCCTAGTGTAATCTTGTGGGGGAAGTCAAATGTGATTAGACAGGGCAAGCCACAAACATTTGGCAAAAACATGATTAGGTTAATAGATTAAGTTTTCTTTTCCTTCACAGTGAATAATACTTTTACCCATTCCTGTACTCTGTAACACAGAAAGTGAATACTCAACAGTGCTGGAACATAACAAAGTAGTGAAGCACTGTACATAAGTAAACATTTTAGGTATCTCTACTTTACTTAAGTACATTTTAAAGTGGATAATTTTTACTTTTACTGCACTACATTTAAGAGCAGGTATATGTACTTTCTACTCTACTAAAGTATCAAATTGAAAAGTAAAAGTATTTTTTATTATCGTTTGAGAAATGCTGAAAAGGCTAGCATTTATTTTTAACACATTCATAATTTGAGTAAAACAAAAAAAAAAAAACAGCTGTGGAAAAAAAAAAGATCAGTTTAGTTTAGTTTAGCTTCTGTTGAACAAAATTCAGCACTAATCTTTACCAAAATAACTACATTTGAAGCTTTATTAGATCTCAAAATCTGTGAAAAATACCTTTTATTTTTACTCTTTAAGTACAGGGGTACTTGAATACTTTTACTTTTAAGTAGAGTTTTTCATGTGATACTTTCCTTTTAATTGAATATGTCTTTGCTCTGGCATCCATACTTCATCCACTATTGGTATTGAATGTTAGAGTACTTAACTCATGGCTTATACACAAGCACATGTTATCTGTGGCTGAGGCAGATAGTGAATGAACTGCATGTGAAAATGTTTATCAGAGGAGCAGCAGCACACAGCTGTCTGGATGTGCACTTTACCATCTGTGATCTAATAAGGTACTGCATGTGGACTTGGCAGGAACATTCGAACAGAGCACTTCTCACAGACATGGAAGCTGAAGGCAAAATAAGCACGAAGAATTATTGATAAGCTCCTACTACTTAAGTTGACTATAGTTTTATCAACAATCAAAAATGCATACATAACCACTCTGTCAAGCATAAAAACATGCAGCATTCGCCAATAGCGTTGACATTAAGATAAATGTTGAAAATGTGGGGGGACAGAAGGCAACCACCACTAACTGTCCACAACAGATCTCATGTGTCAACAATCTGTCCCTTAAATAAAAGTCCATATTTGGACAAAAGGGTGGTCCTGAACTTAAGGACCCTCCTCCATTGAAGGGCAGGCAGAAACCAGCACTGAAAACATTCCACATTCCTCTGACATATAAGCCCTGATGTAATGTTTGTTTGGGCTCCATATGACAACCAACTGAAACCTTTCAAATGGGACACTTCATTAGTTGCTTCCAGTAGTCAGGTTTAGCGTGATGAATTCTACTGTTTTATTGTATTATTACACAGTTGTTGTTTTTTTTTTAAATCAGAAAAAGTGGGACAGAGAAGGAGTGTGACACGGGCCTGAATAAACTTTTATATGTCTATGACATCCTTAAGTCCTTTTTAAACAAACTCGTAATTCAACATCTATTACTATTTAAGGTATAAGCAGCATTGAGTGTATTTGAGCATTCATCTCAAATACACGCAATGGCAATGTCAATGGATTCAAAGTAATCCTATTCAATATTTGGAATGAAACATGTTATAAGTATGTAATACATACATATAGAAGGGGTATAATGCTAAATCAACTTTTTTGAGTTTTCTACCATGTTATAATGTTGTTTTCTCATTAAAAACAGGACTGAAGTAAGAGTAAAAGGTAACATGGCAATCTAAATGTTATATGTCATCAATAAATACCCCCATAGAGGTGTAATATAGCCTCTTTAAAGTAAGGCAGTTGGGCCATTGGCAGATTGTTAGGACTGTCTTGTACATCCTGGGAGCAGTGCTTTACTTGCAAATTAAGTCTATTTAAAAGCTGTTACAATATCCAGTATGGTATCTATATAATAAGATAAAACTGTGCTCTCCGTGGACCAGGCCTAGCCACTTGCATGAGACCACTGTTATAAAAGCATTTAGGTACTTAAGTTAGTTACTTTTTGATTAAATGTAATAGTTCCTACAGTTATATTTTCAAAGCACTAAAACAATATATTTAAAGTCAGGAATCTTGACCAGCTGTGGGCTGGCAAACAGCCTCACATGCTTAAAACAGACACGCCAATTTCAGCTTCAACATTCCACTTTACGCACTGTGCACGGGGTCATTTACGCTAATTAAGTACATTTGACTAATTTATTTAAGATACCATGAACTAATAAGTGGTGTGTGGTGCGTTTTAATTTAAAACATTTAAAAAGTTCACTGATGATCCAAAAAACTAAAATAAAGATTGTGGTCGGTGTAAACTTTTCTTCCTCCAAACCAGCTATAAGCTTTGTAGTGTTGCATGCTAAACTATGTGTGTATGATCACTAAAATGTATTCACTCACATTTTAGAGGCAATTTAATGATTGAAACAGCAAGGAAATACACAATAAAACCCATTATGTATTTTTAATGGTGGAAATGGGGACAAAAGGGCATGGTTTATTGAAAACAGGAACATCACATTTTTTAGAGATTTGCAAGGCTTAATTTAATCCTCAGTTATAGGATAGTATTTCCCTTTTCGATTTGATTTTGGAGATATATTTGGATAGATCCAGCAAATATTTGAGAGTGAGTAATGGTAGTGTTTCGATGACCCCACAATATATGCATGACAGATCAGTCCTTGCATGCTCCAGTACTGAGTTACCAACAATGTTCTGCAGTTATAGGTATTTAGAATACAGGTATTTAGAATACAAGAAGCTGCCAAAAGAAGGACTTATTTTTCTATTGACTCTCTCAGTGACTCAGAAAGATAAGATAATGTTAAGCTAAATACAGGCCTATGTACAATATTGTTAAAAATGTGATCTGCAATAAATACTTAACAGAGTACAACACATAGGTAGTTAATCTGTGGCTATAATGAACCAAACCGACCAAAAATGTCCCAGTAGTGCAAAGAAAAAGTTCCAATGATAATTATTGACCCTCAAAAATCATTGCTTCATCTAACATGTATTAAAAGATGAGACAACATTATAATTATTAAACAGGCCTAGCTAAGTAATATAAAACAATTTATTTATGTAAGTGACATGGGTGTGTATGTATGTCCTGTTAAATCCAACTCCGGATATTAAATTGCCTGCCCTAATTGTGCGGCCTCCTATTGAAAGAGTAAAAGGCATGGATAGGGAAGCAGATTTCTATGTGACTGGACATGTTAAGTGTGGATGGGGTGAGCCCTGACACTCAGAGTCTTGGTGACAGTCCGAGTCGGTTCAAAGGCTGGAATGTTCCACACAAATATGCTGCAACCTATTCATGGAGGACACAGGAAATAAAGCTCTATTACACCCCACTGCTCTCCCTCTCCTTCTGATTCCTTCACCCTCAAACCATCTTTTATGTCTGTTTTTGGCCTGTTTTAAATCCAGTCCATGTGCACCCCCCTCCTCCCGCCTCCCTCCCCTCTCTCCATCGCTTTGGAGTGGTCTTTGAGGGCATTTTGGGAGCTTCTCTTGTGCTAAAATCAATTCCTTTTTTCACTCTTTTGGGGGAACTCGCACAGCAGGCTTGTGTGGCACCGCTCAGACTGGTAGCAGCTGAATAGACGACTCTGCCATCTGGAGCCAATGCAATAAATAGCGCTTTGTGTCTGATCAGATCCAACTAGGGGTATGTTACCACAGTCAATGAGGATAGTTTAACATTCCAGTTTACAGTTAAGGTTGGACATTGGCCTTTCATGATATTTACTATATCAACTTATCATTCAATATATGAAAGCTGGAACATTATATTTTGGGGTCAGTAATTATCATGGGTACTTTTTCTTTGCACAACTGGGACATTTTTTTTTTTTTTTTTAAGATGGTAAGATTTGAGGTTGAATTAATAACTTCCACTACAGATGCTAACTCAGTACTTACAAGTGTAAGTGTTTTATTCTGCTGTCTATGTATTGCAGCTTGTGATTTTTAATAATCTTATAGATTCAGAATAGTTTTTGTAGTATAAATCTGCTCTCACTGCCATTGTGTCAGTGTCATAAATTCACTTATGTAAGTGACATGGGTGTGTATGTATGTGTCAATATTATGGTTAATCGTCTATATTTCCTTGAATGTCAAAACTTCAAAATTTGATATCGTGACAGGCTTAGTTGGACGACACTGACAATGTCTCGATTTTCTTTTTGAATTATTCTGCTAATATTAATTTGATTATTTTTTTGCACTCAATGATACATTTGCACAAAAATGAATGGACTGTAAAATGGACCGCAAAGTGCCGCAGATGTATTCCATTATAACTTATTATGACACATTTGTAATCTGTTAATCTTCAGTTGAAGTTTGCATATCCTAAACACTCAATATTATCTTGTACTGTCACCCCCACTGATGCTTTGGTAACTACACATTAATCAGTAACAGAATCGGATTCACAGAGTATATTGAGAGACACAAAGTCATCCATTTTGGCTTGTGGGTTGCTTGGGGTTGAAGGCACAGAGGGGTCTTGTCGGGGTTAATCCTGAGATGAGTCCACAAACACACAAATGCACCAGTTAAGCTAGCTTTAAAGTCAAGCTTATAAGCACTAGGGCTACTACAGCACAGCAAAAAGAGTCCACAGATCATTTCCACTGGAAAACTAAACAGACATTAGTCATTTATACTGGCTTTGAGCTTTGTGTTCTGCCCTGCATTACAAACCACAATCAAATCATATACCAACAACCTCTGCTTTGCATTGTTGGGCCATTGGCACAGAATGAGAGCCACATCTTTGTGAGTCTGCCTCCAGCCACTGAAAGGAAGATTCATATGAACAACAATGGCTTTAGTGGAGTTGTTCAAATGAGAAATCTTATGCACATCAACTTTTATGGGCTTTAAATCATGTTTTATAGATTTTTCCAGTATTTTTTATTTGATTCATAAGCAAGCCTTTATTGCCCAGCCTACAAGATGTCAAAACTTAGAAATGTGCCCCTTTCACATAACACCTAACCCTGCCCACATCTCTTGTGATTCTTCTAAAAATAGACCTCATAATTGTTGCGTACCCATTTTTCCAAATTAAGAAACACAGTAAATGGAAATCCACTGCTTGCTAAGGTGGAATGGCACTATGAAGATGTTTTTGAACAGGATACAGGATAAAAACATGTTTAAAAAAGGCTGTGATTTTAAGTGTAATGATACCTCTTCTTTTTCTCTCAGGCTCAGAAAATGCTAAAAAAATGCATTACAGGACAAACCTGCTCAGGATCAGCTGCTCTCCTCTCAGCTCAGCTACATGAGCAAACATTTATACTATGACACATGGCAATCCAAACAAAAGACATGAGGCTTGATTCCTTCTATGGCACAAACCAAACACACTGGCATATGTAGAGATCTATTGCAAATCACACTTACAACTGCTAAATAGATGTGCATTTTCTGGTTGTATCTTTAACAAAAGCCTGGGTTAAATAAACTGGATGCTGCTGGCCTTACAATGCTCAGAGAATTAAATGGATCATAACATGTTCATTGGATTTTTGTGTAATGTATTTTCAACCAAGTCATCCCCAGGCACTATCCCTCTATATGGAAAGATATCTTATATTCAAGTTTTATTCATACTAATATACATACTAGGGCTCAACAATTTTTGGATCTTTTCTATTTTCATGTTCATATAGGTCTAAAATACAAAGCAAGCAGTTAAGTCAAGATATAATTACAACCATTCAAACTGTGTTTTCTTTTCAATTGCTGTTGATCTTGCAGCCCTAACATACACAACATAAATAACAGCATCACAGTCGTTGGGCACTTACAACAATAAAGCTACAATCCTTCTTGTTTTATTTAGTTATTTTTAGCATTGAATTAAAATAAACAAAAACTCTTGTGTGATATAATTTCTTTGTGTAATATCAAACCCTGTTCATTAATTCTGCAAGAGGCACTGTCACCTAGTTATTCTCCTCCATTTCTGCAGTCAGATGAGTTCAAAGTGAATCTGCTGCAGTAGAGTCTTCAAACCCTCCAAACAAAGATGGATGTCAGGCTGGAGGCTGAGCTATTACAGAGACGGTTCATGTAACATTCACTTTTCCTGCTCCTCAAGACAAAGAACAGAGAGGCTTCTTATAGTTGAAGAGATAACTAACTAGTCTCTCATAATTGGACTAACTGACACCTCATCCCTACTTGTAAGTCGGTGTTAATGGTAAGTGTTAATCTCTTTATCAGTAACAAAATAGGTATTTTCTTGCACAAAATATCAAATAGAATAAAATATTAGCAGAATATTGTGATCAAAATTAAAGATACAATGAAAATGTGCCTACCACAACTAAAGGAACTTGCCCTGTGATCTGCCTCCTTGTTCATTTTATCTGTGCAAACCGCCCTGCACTCTCCCCGTCCTGAGGCTGGTCAGGGTTAAGATAAGGTTTACACCAAATATGCAAGTCATATAAGCTTTAATTATTAATCAGACATTTTTAAAATTATGTTTAAAACCAAGGCATGCATTAATTATTACACTTAAGGGATACAGTGGAGATCAATAAAGGCCCATAGAGTAGAATGTACAGTACCGGATTTAACAGGCATAATCATAATCTGACATGAAATCCATAAAACCGACAACAAGGCCGCATTAGTGAAACACATTTAATGAGACAGTACCATAAGATACGACACATAAATAAATATATTCTTGCTTACTATAATGTATGATAAATTAGATACATCTGAGACTCCAAATACAATATTTTTTTCTACAAATTAGCCAACATCTTGCTAATAAGTTTTAAAGGGGTGCTAGGTGGAGGGTCCGAAACTTTTTTTGTGTGGAAATTCTGTTGTTTTCCAAGGAATGTTTCACAAAATGGCATAAAACTTCATGTATGTTACCTCAATTAAAACTTTAATTGAAACAATTACTAATAGGTAAGTTTACATCATACTGCCCGCATTCTAGGCAAAGCAATAACATTTTCCTGTGACAATAAAGTCACCAATGTACCACCAGAAAACTTACATAGTGCATCTCTATTTAGTAAATTAAGTAATATGTTTATGTAATAGCAGTAACATTAACTGCTTGTTCTCACAAGAATTCCTAAGTTGACCCTTTGCACATGAGAGCACATATGCCTCGGCCCAAGAGCAGGCTCACATGCCCTTCGCCTACAGGGCCATTAGAGCAGAGGTGTGACGTCACACTCAGCTGAGGACAAAGCCCACTGCCTTCTCCCAGACACAGAGGGAAGGAGGGGCTCCAGAGCATCACAAGGACGACAGAGGAACGGGAAAAGGTGCATATGGATCTGCTGCAGCAGTATGCTCAGTGTGTGTATGTGTGTACCCATGTGTGTGTATGCAGAGGTGCAGTGCATACATATGACACAGCTGGTGGAGTCCTAATGCACATGTGATGCAGAGTGAGGGAGGCTGCTGCACGTGCTTAATGTACAGGTCACTGCCATCATGCCCCACTTGTCAGGACAATGGGATGGGAGGTTGGGCTAATCTGATGTATGGACTTTGCCCAAATATAGGCATGGTTTAGTGACAGGCTCAGTCTTCTCTTGGTTCTGTCTCTTGAATGATGCAATGTAATTCCCATGTGAGGGAACAATACACCCACCACAGTCCACTGTCCACGTCTATCCTCTCTACTGTAAGCCCTACATGATGATCATCACTCCACCCGCTGAGCTACAGCCATAATCTCATATATGTGCCACTGCTGCCTGATCCCTCTTTCCTGCAAAGCGCATATGCACAGTCCCAGGAGGCCAGGGCTGTGTAGTTCAAATATGTCCAAAGGAAAGGTACACATACACCCACTATGGTGATTAATACATCACTAAGCATGTTTCTTATCACAGCAGACTGCATACACACATAACTACACAAGAAAGACATAGGAGTGTGGCAAGCAGACAAAGCAGGGAACGCCCCCTACACCCTGCAAGCTACTGTCAGGTCATCAACTGGATCATACTGGTTTACAACCTTCTCTTCACATTCAAATGAAATCTAAAAGAAAACAGGCACAAGAGATTGAACTATAAACAAATATGAAGCTTACAATTACCTGCAATGGCAAGTGCAATCTGTGGCAGGATCATGCTATCTATACATTTTGATATAATACAATAAAGAAAACTGTCTATAAAGCAATCAACAAAATCTCACCTAATAAAGAGACGGATTGTCGGCTGTGAAGTCTGTCTCCTCAGTCGTTTAGGAGTTTGGCCTTCCTGTTATCTCTCTGTCGCGTTGGCTGATGTTGGTGCGTTGGCGAATTCGGTCAGGTATCTTTTTCACAACGAAAAGACTTCGATGCTAATGGCGTTAGCAGCTGGAAGAAGATTGGCGTGAGATCTCAAAAGACAAGATGAGTCACACCATCAAAATCTCTTCAGACGTAGATCACTGATGGCTGTGGACTGTCCACGTCTCTTCTTCTTCCGTGCCAGTATTTTCTTGAACTCGCAGCTGTTTTCGTTGTTTCAACCTTTGCTTAAAATTCCTCCTGTCTCTTTAAGCCCCGTCGTTTCCGGGGTTTCCAGGAGTATATATAGTAGGCGGGACTTCACTGCCAGCTGAGCCCCTGTCATTTAACTGATTGGTCACTTTTTTTCCATGTAGCCAATCAGCAGCCCCCTCAGACGCCCAGTCTATATTATGTAGATTTATTCATAAACGCGTGTCCGTGGTTGGACTGTGGATTAACTCCAGGAACGCCCAGTCCACGTGCTTTTTCCACTCCTCCCATTCAGGGATGGTCTACTCCAGTCGACACATGGATGTTACAAATGCAATTTGAAAACGATGGTTTATTCAAATGCACGTAAAACACACATAAAGCAGTTCGCCAGCAAGACGAGAGGCGAATGACAAAAATGTAACAATGTGATCTTATTCACGTTCACACTGAATCAGACTCGAGCCATGTCACTGAGCTAATAATAGAAATCCTGGCACGGCAAAGAAGAGCTTGAAGAAGTAGTTCAGCTGTGCTATGCGTCTGTTGTAACACAGATAAATGTATGAACTTATCTCGCTACCATTCTTTCGTCGAGGGTATTCCCATATACTCTTGAACAACACATCAACTCCAGGGAGAAAGCAACCATAGTTAGAGTTACGGTTGTCAAACTGAAAACTATGTTTAAAACAGGCCTATACACGTTTTGTTTTTGTTTTTATGGATACAATATTATAAAAAATAAAAAGTATTTTCTCTTACTATTTATAGGCAAATGACCTCATCAAGCTTAATGCCCCTTGGTGTTTAGCACCCCCTGCTGTTGAAACAACATATTTTCAGATTTTGCAAATTTCATTAGAACAACCAGTAAAGACTAAAATACACTGAAGAGTAGGCTCAAACAGTGGCTATCATGATCAGTCAGTGATAAGGTGCTAGGTCTTTTTAGGAATGTTAGTCCAGATGATTTGTACATATTTTATTAATTTAATCAGTGCTCTGGTCCCGCTTCCTCTTCTGTTTCTTCTTCTGACCCTCTTCATGTCGGAATTGGTGTCTGTTAAAAAGGTAATTAGATTGCAAGTTCTGTATAAATAATTATAGTCTATGGTAACGAAGACCTATATTTTCCCACCTAGACTGCCAGCGCCGGCCACTGTTCCACACCCGACCAAAAGAAGGAAGCCAGTTTGCATCTGTATGAGAGCTGTGGTCGAAGTTAGCTCCTACTCTGTTTGGTGGAAGCTTCTTCAGTTTCTCCTGTTCCTCTGTAACAAAAAAAGAACAATTTACATTAAACGATTGCACTTACTAATAATTAAACAGTTTTGCCCAACCATGATAAAAACAACAAAATATATACTGTGTTTCAGAAATCCTTGGAGTGACGGCCCCATCTCCGGTTGTGTAGCTGACCCTGAGCTTCCTTCCAAAGGATCATCGTCATCATCATCATCATCATCTTGTAGCCAGGGAGGAAGTGCTCCTGATAAAAGAAAGAAAATCTGATTATTATTCAAAGTAGGCAAGGTCAATGTCTACTCCAAATGTGTCTGAACATTTTCAGATAAAATGAAAAATAAACATTAAAAAGGAAGCCCACAGTGAATCATTTTGTAAATCTGAATATGTAACTGAGAGACACTATGTTATACCTGTATGAACGTTTCCACAGCTTGAGGAGTCCTGTTAAATCACACAAGATTTTACACCCAAACGCATCAGTGGTTGTGAATAAAATGCATGTTGCCTGGGTGCCATATTCTCATCACTTTTGTTACCTGATATCCAATGAAAGTTAATCCTGCTGCAGAGTAAGGTACGTCAGTCACTGAATAATCAGCACTGCTTCCTGTTCGTGGTGTCATTCCCTCAGGCACTCTGCCGCTTGCAAAACATAAAAATATTACTAATTTTATACTTTATAGAATGAAAAACATTTAGTTAATATGTATTACCTGGCCACATCTCCAGTAGAATAGTTTCCATTGTGTTGTTCAATGGAGGACTCCTGATCTGCATTGTGCTATTGTTGATTCAGGAATAGCCAACAATATTTCATAAAGGGAAATTTATTCACAGTGACAACTAATGTGATGTGATTAAGTTTTTTTGTATTTTTTTTCTGAATAACTTGTCATTATGATTCTGCTGTCTTTGTATGTTTTTCCCGTAGCTCTTGTGGTTAGCAGTATTAATGTATTTTTAAATCTAGTATCAAATACAAAACTACAAATATAAAGTAAAACAGTAAAATTGTAAACTTGATACTTGGATACTGCCACTGCATCCGTGGTAAACAAACCTCTGTTAGAGACTTAAGAAACTCCTGGCGATGCTTTTCTTGGTTTCGGATCAATTCAGCTTCCTGTTGCCATAAAGAAAATTAAATTACAGTGAAATTATCATCAAAAAGCAGTGAAAAAAAAACAAACAAACAAAACAAATAAATACCTGTTTAATGAACTCATCTTCCTTTTCCACAAAGGTCCCAAGCACCTTTTCCACCTCAGTTTTGAATCTTTTACAAAGCATTACAACATTAGAGTAAATGTATAATGTTTACTGCAATATAGCTGTTTAAAGTTTTAAAAAAGCGCATACCTGTCGATTTCCTCTTTTGAGAAAAAAAACTTGTCTTTGAGCTTTTGATCTGCTTTGTTTTCCCACCAGAATTTATGGGTGCTCTTTCTGTGTTCTTGTCTACAATTATAAAGCATAACATTTTACAACCCTAAATACATTTAATAATGTCATTTTTTAAAAAACACAATCACACACATAACCTACGTTGCCATGTGTTCAATAAGTCCCGCATATAGCACAGTCATGTTTCCATCTGTAACGTTTCTGTCAACCTCAAGTTCACAGCAATAGCACCAGAACTTTTGATTGTGCTGAGTGCAGTCAAACGTCTCCACCTGAGGCTTTTTTAGCATCCGATGTGCCTCTTTAACCTGAGAAAATATGACACAAAAAAGAGGTAAATACATTGTTATGTAACTAATGCACAATAATCCTTATAATCCTTCCATTTATTGCCCTAGTCTTGCCTTAGATCAAATATTCAATCAATATTTTTTTTGTTTGGTGGTTTGTTTGTTTTGGGGTATATTCTATTTTGTTTCTTTATCAAAAATATCAGTGGGGTTGTGTCATTCTAACTCATTTCTTTTTTTAAAGTCCATACACTTTCACCAGATGCTTTTGAAGATTTAATTGGTCATATTGCCAGCATTATTACAATCAGGCACGCTGCAATTGTTTTTTGATGTGGCTGGTTTACTACTAGAGTGTGGCCTAATGGTGCCCTCTGCTGTCAAGTGTGAACTGCTCAAAAATCACCATGACTTATTATCTCACTAACATACACCCGTAATAAAGTAAAATATAAATGTTAACGTGTCCAAAAGAAGTACAAAAAGGCCTGGGGGAAAAAACCGTAGCGACCTTTAAAACAGATCTGTCTCGAAACAGCCATTTCGTTGCCACATCGCAAATACAGGTAGCTAAAGGGTACATTTTTTAAAAGGACACATTTGACATAACATTCAGCAGAAATATCAGTGTCCTACCTTTTCGAGAAATTTGAGAAGAACAACTCTTAATCTGCTTTGGTGGCTTTTTCCAAAAATGTGAGACTTTCCAGAGAAAGTAGTCTGCTTACAAACTGAGCAATAAAATGCGCCCATCGGACGTACCACCTAAAAAACTTAAATTAAAAAAATAATTAGCCCTATTGATTTAGTGTTGAAATAAATGATTTGAACTTTGGCAAAGCGGATCACCTGCGAACAACAACAAAGGAAGTTGCAATGACAAAAGTGTTCCCCCTGAAAAAATAACAGAGACAACAGTTCCGCTCAAGGTTTCGTTCCAACGCGGAAGTAAGTCACTATTGCGTAGATGTCGCAAAACCAACAAATTTCAACAATGTTCACGGTGCAGGGCATGAGAAAGTTTGTCTGTGACCGACTAACTGAAGTTGCTCAAGAAATACTAGGAGCTTTTGAAAAGAGGGCTCAAGAATACGAGTTGGAACTGGACCGTCAGCGCAGACTGCTGGAGAGTTTCTACGCAGAAGCCAACGTCGGACGTACTGGTAGGCCCTAAATAACAAAATTTTACTTTAAACTGCGCTATTGGTTTCATTGTTTCACTCTTAATTTTAGTTATATAGAAATTACATGTATATGAAGTTTCTGAGAATCAAAAAACTTTATTGCCATTGTCAGTAAACAAAATGTACAGTTTACCATGTGCGTTGACAACGTGGTGCAACAACGATTCATAATAATAACAAATTATCATATGTTATTCATCATAAAAGGCATGCATAAAAGAATTTAAAAAAATAACTGATGTCACTCTGATGCTATTTAAGATATTTATTGGAATGTTTTAAATTTCACAGTCATTTATAGTCATAAGTCCTTATTGAATTAGTTATTTAGCACTAGCATTTTTACCTTGTATTTATTAGGCCTATTTATGATGTCACATGTGCAGAACTGTCATTATATTTACTGTATATTTTGTTCTATCTACACCACAGGGTCAAGTATCAAAGAGGAAAGTCATAACATTGGGATCACTGAGAGTGACCTACCTATTGCTTCAACCAGTGTGCAAGGGGTTCATAGTGAGTCGCAAAGTTCAAAGGAAGTTCAGAATGCAGAGAGAATGCAACCAGAAAGAGCCTGCTCCCCACATCAAGAAAACACATCAAGTAAACATATCAAATGCAGTCATGGATACAGGTTACCAAAACGTTTTGTGCCAAGACAACATAATACTAACAAAGATAATGGTAAGATTTCAAGCAGCGCACCCCCTCCAGTGGAAATAATTGAAATTGAGGACAATTCACCAGTGTCCAGTGATGTAGAAGTAATGCAAGAAGACAAAGAGCCCACAACTAGCCAGAAAATGAGTGAAATATCACATAATGAAAAACAAATTACTCACGCAAACAAAAATAGCAGTGCAACAGAAGAAAGCAAAACACCCAAGTTAAAATGTGGTAAAAAGAATTCCCCTCCTCACTCCCACACACCCGCACTTGATAACAATGCGGAGGCCATGGAGACTGAAACCACCACAGACAATATGGAAAATGAACCAACAACTTGCCTGCCTACTGCAAATTTAGATTCTATTGAATGGTCTGAGCCTATAGAGACAGAAGAAAATACAGCTTTACCAGATGATGTAAACCAAAATAAGGAACTTGTTTGTGAAGACTCCACAAGCAAAAAAACTGATGACAAGTTACTTCATAAAAATTGTAAAGATGATCAATCAGCCAAAGAGATTTCAAACAATACCAGCGATAGCAATGACCCAACATGCTCCACAATGTTGCATGTAAGCACAGCGGAGACAATAACTAATAAGGACGTTACAGACTGCACTGCTTCAACTAGTGAGCAGCCTTATAAATGTAACTGGTGTAATAAAAGGTTTGTTAACAGGACCACTCTAAAGCACCACACTAGAATACACACTGGAGTAAATCCTTATGAATGCAGCATTTGCCACAAAAGCTTTGCCACAAACATAGACATGAAAGTGCACTTCAAGATCCACTCTGGAGAACGGCCTTATAGATGTGATCAGTGTGGGAAAGATTTCTCCTCCTGGACCAACTATAACAGGCACACACGTATACACAAGCCTACTGAGCCTCAGTGATAATGACTCTAAATGCATTATTTTCTCACTCTCAGGTTATCATTAAGAGCTTGATCATTCAAGCAAAATATGACTCCGGTGACACAAAGGACAATTTGATGAATTTACAGTGAGGAGTATCATTATTTAAACAGCTAGGGTGTGTTAGTTTTAGTGTAGTTCGATCCTCCCTTCAGACTGATAAGGCAGTGACTTACCAAGATGCTGTCAGAACTGAAGAAGTGTCTTAGACGAATTGTGAAATTCACTACAAAACTTTTGTCCATCTGAAAAAATTCAATTCTCTGAACTACTAACTGAGGGATTACATAGACAGTCTCTGAATGCAAAGCAAAGTTGTTTGGTATTAAGGACAATGATATAAGATGACAATAGAATGTAATTTCCAACACAAATTTCAGTATTGATGTTTTTGCAAATGAATATCCAGTTAGTATCTGATATTTACTAATACAAAGGGACTATATTTTGTATGTTTTGTAATTTTTTATTTTTTTTAATTAATGTAATTTTACAAAAAAAAAAAAAAAATCTACTTTTTTTCTTTACATACTCTAATACAAATGCAAAATGCAATACTACAGACTAGGGCTGTGCAATTAATCCATTCAGTCATTTCTAATTATCAATCATCAGCTAAGGTCTGTTTAAGAGGTCCACAATCAGTTAAAGCATGTGATTTGGAGCAGAATTCAGACTGTCAATCAAAAATCAAAAATCATGATTGATCAGTCTGAGGATAAACTTGTGATACCATATATTTCATAATACCCAGCCCTATAATGACAATTAAAGTGCTCTTGATCATTTATAAGTTACACTATGTAGTGAATTCAAGTGTTTGATCAATATTTAGTTTCTTTTTGAATATCTCTTATCTTCCTAATCTACTGTCAATCAATGCTTGTTTTTGTACACTTGGGATTAAGATCACAAAGGAGAAGAAGAAATTATTATTTTAAATCTATTGCTGACTAAATTTTCTTTGAATGTGTGTCTGCCATTATTTCAAAATGTAAGAATAGGTGAATAAATATGTTTCTTGCTTGCTTTTTATAAATAAAAAAAATAATAATACAAAAATGCCAAATAAAACTTAACTCTGTCCTGTGAAATCTATCATGAGTTTGACTCACTTTCTTCCTGTGGCACTGACACTTTTAGAAAAGCACACTGAATTAAAAACCAGCCTCTATTCCTTCTGTCCACCCATTGATTTTTAAGCATGTATCTGACCACAGTTGGCAGATCAAAGATGGAGAAAGGAAATAGACTAACACAAAAGCATTTCACTTTTCTAAACACTCAGTTTTGAAAACCACAATATCCATAATCTAACAGTCCATAATTTTGTTTTTAGGTGCTTTATAAACTTAAGTCTAACCTTGTAATTTCATGGTTACAACACAGCAATTTGGGGACCTCAGATTTGCCTTGGTTCTCTTTGATTACTTAGCCATGTAGATAGAAAGTATATTTTTTCTTTTCTTTTTTGCAGGATGTGGCCTGACTAGTGATTGGTTGTTCACGTCTGGTTGTTTATACAGTTCCTTGTCAATTTTAAAGGTCTTATATTACACAAAATGGATTCTTGTAAGCTTTAATGCGTGTTCTAATTCCTCCCAAAAACATATTCAGTGTTGTGTTTTGTTTCATTCACACATGTTGGAATAGGCATAATCCTTTATTATTATTACTCTGTCTACATCTACAAAGATCAAAATGCTCTGTTTCACCTTGTTATGAAGCCTAGTGGTATTTTTTATGTCAGCAGAACCTTTTACCTTTAGTTTGGATTGGCAATTCCAAGTCTGAAATCATCCAAATGATTCTAGTGAAGGTGTATGGATTTTAAAACCACAGTGGAGCATGTGTGCATTACCACATGACACCACATGGTAGAGTGTTTTCCGTTTGATGGAAGAACTCAGTCTAAATATGCAGGTTTTGTGTGTTAAGTGTGTGACTGAAACGAACACAACTTCAAGTAGCCTAAGTTTGTCATGAGTAAACAACATTATAACATAGATCAGAAAAAAAAATCATAATATGAGACACGATACTAGCTCAAATAACACTTTTTACTGGAAAATTAGCAGGCTTTAGCAGACCTCTTTGTGGAAAGCGGATTTTCACTGTAGCCCATTGGCCACCAAGGGGAGCCAGATCCACGTTTTTGACAAAATGCTTTCCTATCGTCTCATTTGTCCGCTCAGGAAAAGCATAAACAATTTCAAAGTTTTATTTCCAGGGCATTTTGAATATAATTTAGAAAATAAAGAAACAGCGCAACCGATTCATGTTCATTCATTTTTAAAAACTAATTATAGCATCAGAAATGTGTTAGTGAAACCAGCCAAGCCATAATGTGTAGGCTTAATACACTTTCAAGATATATCCAGTCGCTCTTTGGTGCATTTATGACCCTGGTAAAAATCTGTAAAACGCGCTTCTCTGCTGTTGTTATCGCGGGCCAGGCTGCTGTGCGGAGCAGCTGCTCGGCAGAGGTGAGAGCTCGTAAATCTTCCTTCGCTCAAAACACCGCTGGCTCCTCTCGCACTGACAGTACTTCAAAGAGAACCCCTGTCTCCAAATGAACTTGTTGCCTTTCGCTGATACAGGTTTAGCTTGGCCAGCTGTCACAACTGTCTGTGCGTCATGTGCGTGAGTGCGCGCGCGTTTTGGATGATGTGAGGAGATTGACAGGAGCGGGCCACCAAAGCTGAAGAGGCGTTTGACACCTTTTGGTTTGTTGTTGTAACAAGGCTCATCCTTTTATAGGCCTAAACATTTTTATAGGCCAAGAATTTTATAATAAATCCCGGGCCATTTAAAATGACCTCTATTACAGACTCTGCCAAAATTCTTTTCTCATGTCCAATTGGAAACTGGAGTCAAAACGACAAACAATAGTCTAGATTTCAACATCCTGAGCTCAGAAAAAAGTTTATTTAAAAAAACAAAGTAAGGGGCCCAGATCTAGAAGCGCAAGGTTGCAGTATGGTCTAAATAAAATGGGCAAAAATTAAATAAAACAAATAAGATACATTTTTTAACTACAGTGAAAGGGTAAAGTAAATATTACAAGAGTGACCAAATTTATTAAACTGGAGATGTTATGGTTTTCAATAGAGTGTCCTATCAAAGTAGCAAAATAGCTTACAAACACCACCAAAAAAGACCATAACTTTGTGTTTGCCTTACACAGATGGGCAAAATGATCTAGGCCTATTACATGACCAAACACTGGTACATGAGCTGAATGTCAAAGGTGAGGGTTTTGCTAGTTCATTTATCTATAGCCTACTCTCTCTTTTTTGCATTTCTTCAACTCTGGTCTCTAATGTCCCTCTTTGAGCGTGCATCTTTCAGCTAGACTCTCTCCGTGCGCCCCTCTGCTCCCTTTCTATGGGGCTGCCTCTCAGATTGGTTGTCTTTCCGTGTCAGAGACTAAGCAAACAGAGTCGTGTGTGAAGCAGCCTCATAACTTCCTTGGAGACTCAGAGCTCTCTCACAGCTGTGTCTTCATTTGTCCGCCATATTAGGAATTCTTGGGCTTTTTCTATGCTCCATAACCTCGAGCCAGGAGTCATGACCCCTGGAGATTCATGCAGAGAGAAAGGGAGAGGAAGAGAGGGTGAGACAGAGACAGAGAGAGAGGATGAGACAGAGAGAGAGGGAGAGAGACAGAGACAAAGAGAGAGTTAGAGAGAGAGACAGAGAGAGACAAAGGGAGACAGAGAGAGGCAGAGAGAGAGTTAGAGGCACAGAGAGAGAGGGAGAGAGAGGTGGAGAGGGAAAGGGAGAGAGAGAGAAACAAAGAGAGAGAAACAAAGAGAGAGTTACTGACACAGAGAGAGTTAGCTACAGAGAGGGAGAAAGAGAGTTAGAGGTAGAGAGAGAGGGGGAGAGAGAGGGGGAGAGGGAAAGGGAGGGAGAAAGGGGGGACAGAGGGAGACACACAAAGAGAGAGCGAGAGAGAGAGATGGACAGAGACAGAGACAAAGAGAGAGTTAGAGACACACAGAGAGAAAGAGAGATACAGACAGAGAGACAGAGAGTGAGAGAGGGGAGCAGAGGGAGAGAGAGATGGAGAGGGAGCGAGAGAGAGGAAGAGAGAGAAAGAGGGAGACAGAGAGAGAAAGAAACAAAGAGAGAGAGAGAGAGAGAAAGAGAGAGAGAGATGGACAGAGCCAAAGACAGAGTTAGAGACACAGAGAGCGATGAGAAAGAGTTACAGACACAGAGAGAGAGAGAGAGAGTGAGAGAGGGAAAGGGGAGCAGAGGGAGACAGAGAGATGGAGAGGGAGAGAGAGAGGAGAAGAGAGAGGAAGAGGGAGACAAAGAGAGAAAGAAACAGAGAGAGGGAGAGAGAGAGAGCGAGAAAGAGACATGCTCAGGTTGCTAAAAAGAAGGTCAAGAGAATATAAAGTTGAAGGAATATTTACTGTTGAATCACAGAGCAAATAGGTGAAGTCACTTAATAACAGAGTCAGAGGTTGTGAAGCATGATTAGTAGCTAATCCATTTCACGTCATCTAAATCAAGGGACATCACCGTTGTGAATATGAAAAGACATCAGGAATGTTACTATTAATAGTATTCAGATTTTTTAAGAAGCAGATATTTTCAAAACAAATGAAACTATTACAAGTTCACAAATGTGCCAAGATCTCTGAGTATTTTTGTACTGTTAAACTTGGCAACTAACACAGAAACAATCAGATACAAAGACAGACTTGATTTGCTGGATTATTCAAACAGACATTAATGAAAGAAAACATAGCTCCATGTAGGTATATTTTATTATACTTTAAAATTATGAAAAGCTAAAACAAATAAACAAACAAAAAGTAATTTGAGGAAAACCTGAGGTTGGAAGGCTTAAGGGGAGCCATCGTGTGTTTTCTCATAGCCACATGGTTTTGCACTCCCTTCCATCCTTGGCCTTTTGCCTTCAGTCTCCTTGAACCTTTTTATTGTCTCATGTTTGACTCACCAGAACATGCATTGTCACCCGTCTCTCTCTGTAACTGCTGTGGTGAGCTTTGCAATTTTGGTCTTAAAATATTTGTATTAACCTACTCTACATGATCCTTGTGTTTTTATTTTGTTTATTTGTCCGTAAATAAATTCCTGTTCCTAATATGGAACTCAGCCTATGGAACTAACCTATAACTCGTGAGCTTCATTTGACTAGAACCGAACGCTATGACGTCACACTGCCTTAATCCCCTTATGCAGTCTATGTTTGAACCTCGCACTGCATGATGCAAGATCTTTTTGTGTTTTCTTGCATGAGCATAATATTTTCCTTAGATTAACTTCAACTTTGCCAAACTGTATTGATCCACAAGGGAAATTACTTGAAAGCCTTATATCATAGCTTGTTTTATTCTGGTTTCCATGATTTCAGGTCTTCCCAATATGTTCTCATATTCACATTGCTCTGATGAATGGTGGGTTTGTGGTTCGGCCTGAGCAGATGCCAGGCTGTGGAGGTGCTCAGCTGCCTGTGGCTACTGCTTACACACTTTACATATTTGGAGTAATTTGACAACCTAAAGGTTTGTTCAGGTTGTCACTATCATCAACATTTGTCAAAGTGAACCCTAAAAGTAAATAAAAGCATGATAAATGGATTCTGTTTAAGCCAATATATAACTATATATTTGCAGCTTACCTACAAAACAGAGCCAACCACCAACCACATCTGCTCTATCTCTGCCTCACTAGCCTGAGGTTTGCACTTCAAGCACCTTTCGTGCACCTTCGAAGCCACAAAACACTAACTGACTCAGAGAAGTGACAAATTGAGGGGTTTTGGCAGAGAGCTGGTGGTAAAACATAACTGTTTACATGGGAGGATCCCACACAACCACAGACATGTCCTCAGCCAATGGGAGCACACGGGGAGAGGAAATGGAAAGCTCACTGCTGAACAAGGTGGAAAGAAGACAGAAAAACAAATCAGACCATTTTATTAAAAAACAACAAACGTTGGTCATCATTATTCTGTTCTGTTGAGTGAGGCTTATTAAGGTTTTAATAGTCTTCGTCATAGAGTGCAGTAAAGTCTTGAGGACTAAGATGTCTTTATAATCCCACTTTTACATGGT